GTTTCAGTTTGGAAACTGGATGGAAAGGCATAAATCTGAATGTCAGAAGAATGCAGATTGTTCTTCAAATGCCATGGAGACGTGTGGCAGCGAGGATGATATTTTCAAGATCAGTTGAGAAAAGAAGTCTGGTTTATGGCAATATGCTCTGTGACGGTGGTGCAAAGGCTTTCAATAAAGTGCAAAAATCTAAATGCTATGACATTGACATAACAAAGGAAGACTGTATTAACCACATTGCAAAAAGAATGTTTAATGGCCTTGAGAATTTGAAAAAAAAAAGCAATAAGCAGTTGCATTATTGAAACAATTACCAACACTTACGCTAAAAATTAAAAAGACAATGCCCCTGATGTGAAGAACATGAAGCAGGGAGTGTTAGGTGGATTCTTCCACATGATGAGCACTGACAAGGCACCCAACCACAGGCTGTGTCCAGCGGGTGAGAATTCTTGGTGTCACTTCCAGAGAGCCATGAAGACAGGTTTGCACCAGAAACATCGGCCAACGTTTTCCTCGCAAGTTGACAGGATCATCTACCCTGTTGTGTAAAGGTTGACAGACCCAGATCTTCTTCAACGCTGTGCTAAAATGAGCACTCAGAATGCCAACGAAAGCTTCAATGCATTGATTTGGCAGCGCTGTCCTAAAACAACATTTGCTTCAATGTCAGCAGTGGAGACAGCAACTTCCCTTGCCACTTTGTCTTTCAACTGTGGTCCTATAGGGCTTAAAATGGTATTTGAGAAAATGGGACTGGAGTGGGGACTTACAAACAACTTGTATGCTGCAAGAATGCTGAAGAGAAAGTATTATGATTCGACAAAAACAAACGTTAAGTCTTTCGAAGTGGAAGAGAAAAAAAAAAGGCGACTTGAGCTATAACACCAGCATGAAACAATAGAAGGAAAAACCTATGCTGCTGGTGGATTTAATTGTTAAATTTATGTGATATTTTCTGTGGATATGATGCAGAATACAACAGACGGGGTAAGAACACTTTATTTCTTTATTAATTATATTTTATGTGACTTTTAATGTTTAAAAGTCTGTTTTCTCTCAATTTTATTTTTCTGTTTGTTGTGTGCGTAGAATCCTAAAATCTCAGCTAATATGAAGACTATTAGTTGCGTATCCTTTACAGGACGTTGCAGAACCAACCCTAACAGCCCCTGTCTGTTGTGTGGTTTCTCTTGGCAAATTTACGTCCAGTATTTTGCCATTGCTCCCTGGACGGTCGGCTTTCTTGATACCACTGTCGAAACCAACGCAAGGCGCATTGCCCGCAACTGGGATCGAACCCGGCATCCCGGCATTTCGAAGCGAAGCGTTCGCATCGACTTAGCCACAGAGACGACTAATATTAAGACTAGAGACATAAAATTTGGTATGGATTCTCCTTACAGAATATTATAACATCTGGTGTATTTAAAAATTGATTTTAGGAAGTTAATTTTTAATTTGATTTTTGTCCTATAATGCTTTTTTTTTTTTTTTTTTACCTTTTCAAAAAACCTTAATTCTAAGTAAAATATTTAGAAACATCTTTAAAGTAAATAAACTACACCATTGTCTCAATCTTTTAATAAGGTTCATGAATCCATCATCTATTTTTCAATACCTATGTTTGTTTTTGCAATTTTATAACTCTATGTACATGATGTTTTTCCCCAAGATGGTGGCTGTTGCCATGGAAACCATGATTTTAAAACTTGAAGTGTTCAAATGTATTAACATACATCCCTACAAACTACTGTTATAAAAGAATTGGTCTAACATTGTTAAAAAAAATGTTTCGTGTAGTAAAGACCTGTAATTTATAGACCGAGTAGGCGATGATTCAATAAATGAGTAGCAGGATAAGCCAAACTTGTAAGTTACAGATCAGTTCTAGGTTTCTGCAAATGCAATACAATTCCGATTCCGATTCCTTTTGAGAAAACAATTAAAAGTGCGACCACTTTCAGACTGCTGCTAGCTAGCCGAGGCTGCTAACAGTCTCCGCCTATATTTGTGGTCTGGGTTATTTGCGTCACTTTCGTGACTAAAATTCTAGTATTTGCGCAGTCTCTAGGGTTAATGCTTCCTTTCGAGTCAAACCACTCGTCCTCTACCCTGTTGTTAGCTGTGCATGTCTTTCCTCTTCTTTCATAGTGTTTCCTCTTGGTTTCATCTCCCTCTGATTTGGCCAGGCGTATTTCGTAGGATAGCAAGCTTTTTCTACACAACGTCCTTTGGACCACCATTTATAGTTTGAAAATTGTGAGTATTTTACTTTGCCAAAAAGTACTGAAAACAGTATTTGATTTTGATAGTTTCTAAATGTGAAAAAATTCCGTGTATTACCATCATCGTCGTAAACCACTTTTGCCGTTAAGCGTCGCGGGCAGGAATAATTTGCGATCCAGTGCACGTTGGCTGCCACTGGCTATTGTCATGCTGTGAAGGCATTGAGTGTCTTTAATGCTGTCGATCTATTTTTCCACTGCCGTCCTCTTGCTCTTGTAGCTGATCTTCTGAGATGTAGTGCTTGTAATGGTATTTGATCTTACTGCATTCTAACGAGATGGCCAAACCACTTGATCTGCTGTTTCTCGATGAATCTAGTACAAGGTGTCGTTCCCACAATTTGCCTGATAGTTTTATTATTCACTCAATCTCGGCTTGTTAGGTTCGCTGCTTTTCTCAGATAATCATCTTGCAGGTGGTGATTGTGCGTGTGTGGGCTTTAGACAGTTTAGCACTGGTAGCTTAATGTTGGAATCAATATGCTATTAATAATCTGTCTCTTTGCACACATAGTTATGCTTGGATGTCCTAATAATGGTGACAATTGGTATATAAGTGCACTTGCTTTTAGACATCTGGTTTCTTTTCTCTGTCAATTCTACCATCTTCTGTGATCATACTCCCTAGATATTTAAACTCCCTAACTTGATTCGGAGCAGAACCGTTAAGTTGTATGTTTAGCGGGACTGGGGTTCTACTAACTTGCACTGTTTCGTTTTTTTTTCTTCTTTTTGCATTTATCCTAATGTTGTATTTACTGCATGCTTTAGTTTAATCTGTTAACATGGTCTTGCTGTCTATCTTCTTCAGGGTAGAACAACCACTGGTCGTCAGCAAAAAGTAGTTCGTTTAATGTGGATAAATCGAAAACTTCTCCTGATGTGTGTACTTTCTCGTGATTATAAAAGGTCTATGTTTTCTGTATCAGAATTGCTTCTTTGGATATTCTCTCACATCGATTTGTGCACTATTGACTCTTGCTGTGTACAAATTGAAGATCACCGGCGACATTGGTGATATCTAACCTAACTCTCCATAATAGTTTGTTAGCTGGGATTTTCAGTTTGTCCCGTACCAGTGTATTTAGGCTGGGTTCTTTAAGGTTGTTGTATGCATCTCTGCCATTAGTGCTCTTCTGCCATTGGAGTTTCCACACTTTAATGATATGTCTTTTGATTATGCTATTCCTTTCAGTTTTTCCGAGTCCTATTTCTACTAAAGAATCAAATTTAGCACCTTTTATTAGTTGCTTGGTCAGCCTTTTCATTGCCTATTACACCTCTATGTGCTGGTACCCATGCAATGGTGACTTGGCATCCATTATGCTTGAGCTGGGTTGTTAGGTTTAAAATCTTGTCTTTAATTTGTCGCTTTATGTTCCATGTGTTGGCGTAAATCAACCGGAAAGGATAATTTGGAATGTTTTGAGCTAGTATTTTATAAATAAATTGGTTTCGTTAACAGTTAATCGTTTACTAAAGGGTAATAGTCTTAGATGGCCATAGATATGGTTTTTTTATTTTATTTAAATCGATGTGTTTTCTGTCGGAGACTAGGCGTAAAGCAAGATTGTGTAAAGGACACAGATTTGGAGCAACCATCCTAGAATTTGCAACAATAGTCAACAAGGGTTTAGCTGTAGGATATGTAAAATATTTTTTTTTTTTTTTTTTTGGGTCAGAAAGTGCTGGATTTTTCAGTTGACAAACTCATGCACTTTCACTCTCAAGGAGTCACTTATATCCCGTGCCCATCTTCGTGTCGGTCGGCCCCTGCCCCTCCTTTCTGGTACCATGTCTTCTGATATAATTTTTTCCAATCCTTCGTAGCGCTTGATATAACCAAATTATTTCAGTTTTCTAGAAAGGATGCTGTTTATTAGTCAATCTTTCTTGATGTTTAGATCTTTTAAGATGTCAATATTTCTCATCTTCTTTATCCAAGATATGCAGAGAATCTTTCTATAGCATTTCAGTTCAAAAGTCCCTATTCTCTTTCTTAAGAACTGAGAGATAGTCCACGACTCACACCTGTATGTAGCCACAGGGAAGATGCATGCTCTCAAAATTCTAATTTTCAGATAGGTGATATATGCAGTTCCATATTTAAATGAATTATGGCATTTCAGAGAGGTTTAGAGACGATTGATTATTGAAAAGGTAAGTAATAGATTACACTAGTTTTTGCGTGACATGTATCGCTCCATCCCGTCAGATATTGTAACAAAGAAAAAAAAAATGAAGCATATAAATGAATCATTTAAATTGAAATACAAAACCTATCTGGCTCAAAGGTTTACTAGGGCAAGAGCTGTCTGTATCTCTACCATGTTCACTACCCCCGATTGCCAAATATGCAGCTCAATAAATTGTTCAATCTATTATTTATATCTTCTGTGTTCAAATGATTATTATGTTAGGAATAATCTGTGTAATCTATTAATTCTGTCTATTTTGTTGAAGTAAACAAAACAAAACAAAAAAAGAAAAGAAAAAAAAAAAAAACACATTTTTTTCTTTATTTTCTGCCATGCTGTAGTTAGATGTCTGTAGCATCTCTGGTTCAGTTAACTTTGCTGTAGCATCTTTGGTTCAGTTAACTTTGCTGTAACATCTCTGGTTCAGTTAACTTTGCTGTAGCATCTTTGGTTCAGTTAACTTTGCTGTAACATCTCTGGTCCAGTTAACTTTGCTGTAGCATCTCTAGTGCAGTTAACTTTGCTGTTCACTTTTCATCTGGTACCAGCAAGTCCAGAAATCTCTGTCGTGCAGATGAAGAGAAAACATTGGGATGGCCATTTTTTGTGGTAACGTACAGTTTACAGCCTTCTTATATGACTCTGGTAGAAATATATTGAATTCACAGTGTGTAAAATTGATGTTACCGATAACATATGGCAACACTCCGAACAGGTAAACGTCATCAATCCAGAAAAACGGGGAAACGTTTGCAGCCTGGTACAATTCGTTAATCAAGTCTGGTGTGAGTATTACGGCAAAACCTGTACAGTATGAAAAAGGATAGTGTGTCCTATTTGGCAAAATATGAGAGTCCACTTTCCACTTACCTGTTCTGTGTACGAACATTGTACCATTGAATAATACCATACAGAAAATAGTTCTCTTCATTGCCTTCATTTGTGGTAAGAACAAGTGAACTAGCGCAAACATATTTATTACTACGTCGTCATCTATTTTCAGCACAAAAGCAGCATTTGGACAGTGATCTTTGACCCAGCGGAGTCCCATGACTCCCTTCAATGTCAGGTTGTGATAATCATCGATGAAATCTCCCATAACCGTATCGTTGTATGTTCTATGTTCCCGCCATAACATCTCCGTTAATTTGCTATCCGTCGTTATACCCAATAAAAAAGCAGCACGTATTTGGGCTGGGTAAAACAAAGATGTGTTCGCGAAAGTGGCTCTGATTCGTTGTCTTCTTTCAAACTGTGTAGGTGCTGTGTGCACGATAATGATGAAATCGATATTGGAAACATCTTTACAGACATTAGGATTTGAAAAGATATAGTTGCCGGTTCTGTTGGCAGGGTACATAGTTTCATTGGTCAGTGAAAGATCAAGAAACTCTCTCTTGACCTCTGCGAGTCGATTTTGTTGCATTAAATCATTGTAATTGTTCGTTGGCTGCTCGCCAAGTGTTATATTCTTGCTTGTCATGTACGGACGTGTCCAAGTGAAGAGACTGAATGCTGTATTTTTACGATTACTCCAATGCTTCCCACCATACCAGATCATGGTCACAGATAGGATGATGATGAACCAGAAAGTGGCAGACGTCAGAATTCCCCCAATCAACCTTGTCGCCATTTTCATCAAGATGATTGACGCTCATCTCAGTCTGAAAATGTGAAAGAAAATATAATTGTTCAGTTACAGTATTGAAATACAGTTGTGTACTCGTTAAGAAAATTAACTATGTCTTGATGACGGGAGCTACCATAGTGTAGCGGCTAGACGCTCGCATGCGGGTCTGAAGGGTGTGGCTTCAGATTCTGGTGGAGCTGGACAATTTTCGAAGGTGATCTTCTCTCTCACGTCGACACAACATTAAATGGGTACCAGGTAAAGTCTTGAAAAGTACATGCAGTGGACATGTTGCTGACCACATCCCACAACAAGTGCTGAGCGGTATATAAAATATCTGTTTTGCCCAATATACCCAATGAGCCTAAAGGCGTGGAAAAGGAACCTTTACTTTTTGTCTGGATTCCGGTTTCTCCCTATTATTTCATATTGGGGAAGGAAGGGAGGGGACGACACCGCCGCCTTTCAAGATACATATTTCGTCACAAAATAGATATCAAGAGAAGGCCAGTCAGCGATATGAATGGAAACGGCCAATATCTACAGCAATGGAACTCACAGGCTCCTGATGCTCAAAAAGAACCACACACACACACACAAAGAAGAAACAGAGGAACAAAAATTTCGAAAATAAATGTTATCGTGGCATAGCATCTATTTAATATTCTGGTATCCGGTCTTTGGAGAGATAAAGCGTAAACAGGTAAAATCCTCGCCGTCGAGGTAAGCGCAAGAGGCATTATCTCCACTACCACATACAATGTACTAAAACACATGGGCTTCTGAGAAAAAGAGCGTAAACGGCCTCTAAAGCAAAAGGGCTACGCTGCAGAAAGAGCTTCGAGCTGACTGTAGACGTAACGGAACGTCGTTGGAGATGGGCCTCGTTAGACTGGTTCGAGTGGAAAAGAGCATTTCACCCCTATAAGCCAAAGTGTCTGATAAATGTCTGCCAGCGTCTCTATGACACTAGCCATAAGTCTAAGACCTGTCCGATGAACCAACCGTAAGCTTGTCACTCTGGTCGTGAAGGTAGGCGGCTAATTTGCTACCATAGAGACAATATATATAACACCAAATCCGACGATAACAGTTGCATAGTAACAATTTCCTGTTTGTCCCTATCCTGTCTTTTGATAAAGTGCAGTGCGAATAGATCTAGTTTCAAACTCATGTACTGGAAAACGGGAGTTAAATGGAGAAAAAAAAATAGAACCAGAAAACACTTTGAATAAAGAACATATACACGTATACTGTCTAGAAGACCTACCTCAAACAAGACATTGCCTTTAAAATCAGAGGCTACAGATGTTACAGATCTGACCGAAAAGACAGAAGGAATGGTGGAATACTAATCCTAGTCAAAGAAAACATATTTGCATGCCAGACTAAAACATACATGGAAGGGGCAGAGTACCAGATTCTTAAGCTCAAGAAAGAAACACAGATTTTCAACTAATCAACTTTAACTTTACAGCGACCGCTCTCAGGCACTGGATACAATAGTAGTAAAAAAAAAGGAATGATTGTGTGTGGGGATTTCAACAGTCACTCATAAAGCTGGAGCTACGACCACATGGATTAGAGGGGAGAGATACTGGTAGGATGTAAACAAGTTTCATCCTCATAAATAAGCCAATCGACCCACTAACCTTCCACTCAAGAGCACGGTATACCACTTCTACGCCAGACCTAGCCTTTCATTAATCAGACAGAGAATGGGATATTACTAGAACTGATGGGAAACAACTAGGAGATATTGCTCACCGCCCAGTCTTTCAAACGATAGAAAACCAGTCTGTAAGAAAGAGCAGCACTCTACCGAGTTGGAATTACAAGAACAGCCTGATGTGCCAGTCTTTTATAAAGAGAGAAACCAGAAATCAAATTAATCAGAAAGTCACCACAACTGGCCCGATTACCATATTATCGACAGACAAAAGCAAATCATTATTCTACGCATCAGAACAGGGCACAGTCGACTTCGCAGCCACATATACACAAAATTAGGATTGGCGAATCAGCCATGTGGATAGGCACCTCAGTATGCCTGATAGTGGAGGCCATATCTGTGACAAAAGCCATAGAATGACTAAACACTAAGGAAATCACCAATGCATGTTTGCTCAGCGACTCAGAGAGCATGCTACAGAAGACCAAGGCCGGGCATTTACGGAAACAGTGGCACCATCGGATACAGCAGGCAGCGTTTGAAATAAGCTGCCATTACTGCCTGTGTTTACCAAGAAGAAGGAGGAGGAGACGAAGAAGGAAGGAGAGGAGAAAAAAGAGGCCATGGGCTCCACAAAAGAATAAGAAGTCGTTTCTTATTTATCTCTAAAAAATGACGCCACAAAGTTGCGGGAATCAAAAGTAAAAGCGCCCATTTCTAGATCTTTTATGGAAACCTTCACTACTAGAGGTTAGACTGTGTATGCTGGTTTCTCCTCTGAACATCTTATTGTTGGGAATCGAGTTCTATGTAATGATTCTTTACACAATTAACACATGCATATGACATAGGTATTACAAGAGTTCACGGGTACTGTTACAAATCTTACATACAGCAGACTGTAAGCCGTACTATGCAATGGCAACAATCTCATTTACTACATATAGCAATATGAGTACTGCGACAGTCGCCATGGAAAATGACTGATATCTGTCTACGTATTACTCTAGCAACAGATGTCTTTACAGCCGCATACCGGTTAATACACATGGTCTTGTCTGTAGAATTAAGTCAAGTTAAAGGGCTAAAGTCGAGATGATCGACTTTATTGCACTGGGTTCTATCCCATATGGCTCGGTCCCACTCCAGAGGTCTCCGTAAAAATTGCTTTCCTGAATTGAACGGCGTCACCATGAATCCAATCCACGTCCTTCAGAGCGTGAGGCAAACGGCTTGACCACTTCGCCATGGAGAACACAATATCGACAACAGGACGAAACACCTTCTCTGAAGACTAGGTATAACTCAAAACTGGCGCACAGGCGGAACCCTGTCTTCTCCTCTAAAGACAGAAACCGCTTACAACAAGAGAATGTATTCTAAATTCCTAGGTGCGATACTTGCTTGACAAGGGTTCCAATGTGCACTACAATAGCATATGAAATAATGTGCAGAATGGCTAAAGACTCAATGAACTGCATAAATACAGCCAAACGGCGCTATGGGTATAGCTTTTGAACATCTCCTATAAAGCTTACTCTTCGGATTTGTGTCGACCGCCTAAACTGGATTCCGCAAGGTGCAAACACGCTCACACACTTCTCTAGACTTCCAACGAATCGACTTGTGGCACTTACCCGGACTCGCACACAATCTCACAAAATGTTGTTTCTCTGTTTTGCAGCAAGACTGTTCATTGAACGCGCAATCAGTTTCCAGTAATATTTGATGTGATAGCTTTCTGTCCACGAGATGTCTTCTTAACACGTAACTCGGCAAGGTTAACGCGAACGATGATCAACACTTACTCCACCCTCCCCCTGTCCATTCACACACATTTAATATACTGCTGCGAGTGACTGCAGCAGTTGTGGATATTTTCTAACAGCTTAAGCTAAGAGGTAACGATTATAGAATACATTATAATAAATATGTTGCGCAGTAACATATGTTGGACGATGTGGCAGGGAGGCATAGAAGAAACGCCATATTTAAAGATTTATTGCACATACATGTAAAACCTTGTAAACAAAACAGCCAGAATAACCGTCTCCCTTCTTGTTCTCTCCCTCCTCCTTCGTAATCTCCCCCACACTTTACTCCCCCACCACAACCCCCTCTCTGACATCCTCTTATTCTTTCTTCAATATCAGTATTACAAGCACTTGGGTTTCATTGCTGCAGATATCACCCGCCTTTTTTCATCTCTGTGATTCGCCCTTACCTTGCAGTTGGTGTCTCTATTTGAAGGCCTGTTTCTCCAAAGTCTCCTTGGTCTTTCTCGTAGACTACCTTAAGTACAAAGTGTTAGCCTCACTGCCATCTGCCGTTCTGCCTCTATTCTCCAGCCATTTCAGTCTATTCTCAGGCATCGTTCTAATCAGTAGTCAGTTGCAATTTAAACCGATTATGAATTTAATTGTTGCTTCTCATACATCAGTACATGCTTGGAGTTTTGTGAAATCCATAATGAAGATCACCGTTTACCAGTCACCAGAATCAACAGAATTTTGAATGTCTATCATTTACCACAATAAAGTGTTTTTACTGTTTAATAGTATCTCACGGAAGATAGGTCAGCATTACAAATTACAGTTCAAATCTCCTCCCTTCAGCTCTAGCACTTTTCCTTGCACTTCTATTTAGTTCGGGATATTCTAACATTTGTCTTTCTGACGTTCTGATTTAATGTGATTTATGAGGTTCTTTTTCCTTTTTCGCTTGTTAATATAGTCCATGGTTTGACTGCTTATCCATTCTTTGTGATGCTTCTTCTTGGTTCCTAATATGTTTTTGCTGGTTGTTTTGTACTTTTCTGTGATCTGGTTCCATTGGTCTTGAATGTGATTGTAGTTTGGGGGGTGTCTGTGTCATCTGATAGGGTTTGCAATCTGTTCTTGATTTTCACTGTAAATTTAGTGGCAATGTCTTTTCCTCCTAATAGGATGACAGTGTATCTTTGCTTGTGTGTGCACTTTCTTGACTTTCAGCCGTAACAGTGCAACTACAAGGTGATGATCGCTTCTCACATCTGCTCCCCTTTTAGCACGCACATCGAGTAGGAAACCCCGCCAATTTCTGTTCACGATAAATTGGTCGATCGGGTTTACATCTCCTCCATTTCGGCAAATCTATGGGAACTTGTGTATGTTCTTGTGAGGAAATGTGTTACTCCTATAACAAGTCTATTCGCTGTGCAGAAGTTGCTCAGTCTTTCTCCATTGTCAATAATTTTACCGCACCCTTGCTTTCCCATTTATAGTTCTCTGTTAACGTAGTTGTTTACAACTTTTGCATTAGGATTGCCCATAATGCATAGAATACCATTAGCTGGTAC